TAAATTTTTTTGATGGAGATGAAAGGGAATTGAGAAAACGCCCCCAGAATCAGAATGAATTCCCACAATCCCAGACTGATCTGGTTTCCTGCTCAGAAAGCAGCCTTTCCTGCCCTCCCCACCACCTGTCAGCAAACCCTAGATTCAAAAGGCACAGGAGCGGCTGATCACAGGCAAGAAGCACAGTCCCCCTTCCTGAATGGCTGCAAGTTCTTTGTGGCCTGCGAACATGGCTGCTTCTGGCCTCCTTCTTCTGTAAAAGTAGGAAGAGCACAAGAGGCAGAAGATTGGGAGCTTGAGAAGTTACAGAAAACAGCACGTCAAAGCAGCCTGTCTGGACCAGTTCAAAGAGAGGGGAGAGCAGTGACAGTTAACACAGGAAGGAGGGAGTTTCCTTATTGCTATATTTTACTATCCAAGGTGGGAGGCAGCCTGTAAATTAAAGGGACTGAATGAATGGATCAGGAGAGCCTCCGTTTAAAGCTAGTATTAAGAGCTTCCTTGCTGAGTCTTTCTTGCAAAACTATTCCAGAAGCAGGGAAAGAAAAATACAAGATAACGGCCCCAGAGCTCAGGGCTGGGGGACTGTCAGGACATCCGGGAACAAGGGAAGAGACACACAGTGGCACAATTCAAAGGCAGGAGCATTTCCTCCTACACTGACAACTGTGACTGCTTTGGAGAAGAAAGAAGGATTTGGTGACCATGTGGCATAGACAATTTGGTGACCTTGGGGGTGAAGGAGTAGATTTGCTGTTTCTCCTGAGACGGGTTCTTACTTTGCAGCCTAGGCTGGCTTTGAATTTGTGGTTGTTTCTGCTCTGGTCTCACAAGTTCGGTGATCACAGCTGTGCATGGCAATGCCTGGCACCGGTATCCATGAATAACTGCAATCTCTGGCCATAGTCTCCAGTGTCTATGAGGAACAAAGTGAGAGACTGAATGGTGATCATTTTTTAAAGTTGACTCCAAGTAGTACTGCTGACAGCCCCATTCAAATGGCTCCAGAAGCTAGATTGATGGCTCAGCCACTCAGAGCACTGACTGCTCTGATATAGGGCCCTGGTTTGATTCTCAGCACCCACAAGCCCGCTTCTGGCACCCTGGGTACACACATGATGCACCTTTATGCATATAGGCAAAACACCCACACATATAAGATTAAAAATTATTGAAAAGCAAAGGAACATGCAATGTCTCCAGACATGTCTTGGGGATGGAAAAGACCCTGACAGTAGTGTTGGTCATCATTGTTGCTTTGATTCATAAGTAAGAAATGGAGACTCTACATACTGAGTTGACTTCACCATCAATGGCTAACCAAATGTACTATAAAGATTGTTCACAGGGCACAGGGTTTCATCATTAGGGTAGAAGGTGCTGGAAGAGTCTACACCACATCATTAAAAAGAAGTGGGAGCAGGCATGGCATGCATGCTCAAAATCTTAGCTCTTGTAAGGCTGAGACAGGTGGATTGCTGCAAGTTTAAGGGCATTCTAGGCTACAGCGTGAAACTCTACCTGAGTGACACTTCTTTACCCAAAGAGGTATAATCAAAACATGATTCTCAGATAAGCAATGCCACATAAGTTAAGGGATATAGTTACATTGTTCACAATCATTCTCATCCCGAGACTCGAACAGCACACGGGAAGCAATATCTCTGGTGGAGATGATGGACTGACAGGGACACACAGACCCAGAGCAGCTTCGGCTTCCTAGAAAACATCATAGGAGCAGCAGCTTAGACAAAGGATTGAGAAGTAAAACTGACAAAGCAGATTGGGTGGGAGAAAATGGGCCCAGAGCAGAGCAGTTAAGAGGGACGTCATAGACACAGTGGGGAGAACCGGGGGAGAGCAGTTTGGTAAGACACTGAGGGGTAAACACTGAAAACGTGGTGAGGGAAACTGACAGTGGGTACCATGACTGTGTGGTGGAGATTTGCAACCTCGGTGGGAAAAACCCAGATAAGGCCGGACATCCACAACACCCAGATGAGGCTAATGGAAGAGACACACTTCCAATTCTCTGTGCACTCACTGCATGTAGCTAGGGCTAATCAACCATTATCCTCTTGATATTGAGCTTTTAATTAACCACCTCATCAAGTGACAGGGGACAAGGACTCTGAAAGGGATCAGGATTTATGTGTAGATGCAGAAGGGCCAGCTCTGCTCTTGGCAGACCCTATACAGTTAAGGCCAAGGCTGTTCAGTATTCTTGGATTTTGCATTAACAGAAGGAAGCTTCAAACCAACCCAATTGAAGGTTGGCGGGAAGGGGATTTCTTCCTTGAGAAAACTTACCTGTGAATGAAGATTCACATTCTTAGAGAGGTAAGGAAGCCCCGAATGTACAAGATAAAGGCTGAGCAGTTTGAATGAAAAGTGAAGTATGATATTGGAGCAAAACCATTACCTGAAGGGGGAGATGATAACGGGGAGTCTTGTTGAAAAGAAAAGAGGAATACAAATATATGCACAAACTTTGACAGAACAGTTTCAACACAACACTTTAAGACTGAAGTGTATAAGAGAAGTGGAATGAAATCAAGATAGTTTCTGTAAAAGATTCTGTAAATAATTTGGTTGTGGGCAGGAGTGTACTGTGGGATGTCATTCTGTATGCTGTGAACATGTGTTGCTCTGATTGGTTGATAAATAAAATGCTGATTGACCAGTAGCCAGACAGAAAGTATAGGCAGGGCAAGCAGAGAGGAGAATTTTAGGAAGAGGAGGTCTGAGTCAGGAGTTGCCTGCCAGACACAGAGGAAGTAAGATGACAAGGCAGAACTGAGAAAAGGTACCAAGCCACATGGCTAAACATAGATAAGAATTATGGGTTAATTTAAGTGTAAGAGCTAGTCAGTAATAAGCCTGAGCAAATGGCCAAGCAGTTATAATTAATACAAGTTTCTGGGTGATTATTGTATAAGCGGGCCACAGGACAGCAGGGGCTTGGCGGGACCCAGAGAAAACTTCAGGCTACATTTGGCATACCAAGGCAGGGCTCTTGAATTTCCATAAAGCCTAAAGTAGTTTAAAAAGGGCTTCTAAACACACAAAAATGGAGCCAAAAACAGCTTTCTACTTCATGTCTCATGCAGGTCAAGATATAGAGATGCCAAGGTACAGAGACACTGTGGCACTCAGATGTAAGCTACAGTATATCGGCTTGATTGCAGCATGGCAGATTCCTGCCACTGTACACAGAGGCATCTGCAAGCTGTGCAGCATAGTGCGTGATGGATATAGCTTTTATTAGTACAGCTACACTCCACCATTCAGGATATTGCAAGGTCTCCTAATTTCCCCGGATCCATCTTTTGACAGGTCTTAAAAGGTAGGCCTGCCATCCCAGCCCTCCATTATCTAAGGAACAGGTCCATAATTTCTCTATTCATGTTCTCCTCCCACAGGACTGAGGCTTCATACACATGCGTCTGCATGTTGATGACAATGTTTCAAGGGCCAGGGATACTGCAGTAACACTGATGTTTCCAAAAGGGGCTCCAGGTTCAGAATGGCGAAGTCCTTTGTTTTCTTTGATGCTACAGAATTTGAGTGAATTTTTACAGAGCGGTTTGCATGGAATTGAGTATCAGTGACACTTGCCCTAGGTTTAGAGCCACGGCTGCTTTCCCCTCATTCTACAAGAAGAAAACACAAGGGTTTCTGTACTTTGGAGCAACAGGAATTTCTTCACCTTTGCTACTCTTTAGCAGCCTGAGGACATTGGTAACTGTACCACATCCATCTGAATTGAGTCATCTAGGAGAAACGGAGGTATTTACTTCTCTCTAGTCACACTGTTTTGTCATATGACAAGAAATACTATCATGGTATTATGGTCACAAATTGAAACTTCAATATTTGACCTTGAGAGTGCCTGTTTTGTTGGGTCATTATTTTCCCACCTAAAGTTTACTGATCCTGCTTCACAGAAATGTGCTTATCCATCCATTAGGAGCTGCTCCCGAAACTGTAACTAGAAAAGCCTGATACTTTTCTCTTTAGTACTTCTCTTGGCACAGGACATCAAATGTGGATGTCTTCACTACAAGTTCCAACGGAAATGTTGGAATGGTGGCTGAGAGGATATTAGCCAAGCGTCAATACAAGTGTACCTTTTATTCGTAGATACACACTGGCCTTACGACTGATTGATTTCATTTTAAGCCAGGAACTTCAGCATGATCGACATCTTGACTGACACTATTTTTTGTCTTGGAGGTTCATCTGGGTAGTACAGAATATTTGGTAGCAGACGGGGCATTGGCCTTTAAGATATCATAGCTCTTATCACTGGGGACACCAAAAAGGGCGTCTCGACATTTCCGTGAGATGGAAAGTTATCTTTTATTAAGGACCACACTCTTAAATCTTAACTTCCTCCACCTGTAAGGCAATGTGAATGGGAGTGGAAAGCTGCTATTGACGTGAGATGGTAGGTTACCTTATTTTGTAAAAATTTTTTCAATCGTGTGTGTGTGTGTGTGTGTGTGTGTGTGTGTGCACGTGCATGTGCACTTGTAGTGCTTCCAAAGGCTAGAAGAAATCATTGGATCACCAGGACTGGATTCATGGGCAGTTATGATTTTCCAATGTGAGTGCTAAGAACTGAGCTCGGTTCCTCGGGAAGAGCAGTGATTGATCTCAACTGCTGACGGGGGAGTCTGCTCTGTGACTATAAAGCATGACTATTTTACAGACCCATTTGTGGGTGACAGGTTTGGTATGGCTCAGCTGGCAGAACAGACGAGGATGCTAGTAGAAACTCCCCCCATTTGCAGCTGTAAAATGGGGGGTTGGGCCTTTACCGGCGTGTCTATGTTTTTAAGCCCTCCAGTGGAATGCAAGCTGGAGATTCAAGCCACACTGTCATTGAAGTTTATTTTATAGTTGAAGATGCTACAAACATAAGAAAATTAGAGTGGGATTAATCCTTGTAAAATAATAGACATCTATTTTCTAGAAGCCTATTAATGCCCAGATACTGGAATAAGATCAATGGATCTCAGGTGCTGAGTGATACTCTCAGATGCTGTACCCATGGTCCAGAAGCTAAGGGTTCATCCTGAAGCTGCTGTCCCTGATAATGTCCCAGCCCAAAGAAAAGCACAGGGGTGGTGAACATGGCTTCACAGAAGACAGCTTAAGGAAGGAGGGCCCTCCTGTTCCACCTGAGATCAAAGCCTATTGTTTGGTGTAGCTAAATGGACAGCATAAATGGGAGCCAATTCCATTCACAGCAGGAGTGCGCTCTCCACTGAAGGCAGAAGCATTCTGCCCCATGTCTTCAGTGAAACTGAGAGAACCCCAGTCTTGTTCATCATCCATTAGCCCAAGATTCAAAACTTCAGACACCTTTAGGGACACTCACAAGTTTGAAAGTTTGCCTGGACGACTCTTTTTTCATTGATTCCTATCTTAAATTATCCGAACAAAACCAGCTACAAGCCAGAGATCCTTCACACTCAGATTTTGTTCTTTTATTATCCCTTCCCTGGGAAAAGAGGAAGGTTACTGAGTGCAGCTGTTAGATACAATTCTGGTTTTGTGCAAGCCGCTTTTGCATAATGGCAGGCAGGGAGAGGAATACAAAAGATTCAGAAGCACAAACATAACAAATTCAAAGATGAGCAGAGCTTAACATGAGTCTCTTGTGGCTGCTGGTGAGGACGCACGTCCACTGAAAATAGACTGTGCCACTGAAGGCTGAGGGCACTGAAGTGAAGGAGACCAAGCGGAAAAAGTGACCTGAGTTTGGGGCTTACATCCCATAAACGGGACATTAACAAATGAACCTGAAGATGACAAAACACGTAGAAAGTTAAAAGAACGTCCTCACTTCCTTTCAACCCCATATTCCTTTTCTTAAGAGACATGGACATCCCTGATGGGGCACTATGACAAACTTACAGTCACCCAGCGTATTGTAAAACAACTTAGCTTCTCTTGATTGACAGCAGAGAAGAGCAGACTATTGCTTTCGTAGACTAGAGTATCCGGCCCTTTAAATTTTAGTAGATGAAATATTGATAGAACAGCAGGTATTTTCTTCTTGATCTTAAACCTGTAATAGGATGCTGCTGACGGAGTAATTATGAATGCTTTATATGTTCAGTGTGTATGTGCTCCTCGCTAAAGCAATTTAATTCCCATTAATGCTAATCTCGTTAATACCCACTCAGAGAGCAAGGAGTCCTCTCAATACACTATTGATTCATTTGAGCCATTTAGACAGGGGGTGGGCAAGAAGGGGTGGGGTCGCGTCCGCAACTGTGTTTCTTAGAATGTTTTCCAATCATGAATGAGCATTAGGTTATAACCCATGTGAGTAGGAAATGAGGAGGCGGGTAAAGTGACTGAGTGACAGGTCTCAGTCTGTGAAAACTGGGGGAAGCCAGAAAGGCTTCTTAACCGAGGTCGGAGATGAGATACTACAAAGACAGGGAGATTTTCTTTCAAAAACAAGGAGAGTGGCACTCTGCTACCCTCCTAGTTGTTTCTGCCCCTCTTCCCTCAATAGAAGAATTCGGTGATTTCTCTGGAACTCAGATGACCACCCATGGGTCAGATTTCCTTGTCTCAGCATGCTTTGATCAGCCAAGAGGCAAGAGGGGCTCCCCAGAGGGCTTGTGTCCCCATCTCAGTGACTTCCATGAATACAGCTATGTAATGAGGCTGTGTGTTCCATAGGGCAGCCTGGAACTCAGATGGCAGTAACAAACCCTCTCTGCCCTTTTGGGGTCACCCCAGAGCTTCTAAAGCCCCAGGTGTCTCAACCCCACCCCCTACCCCAGTCATAAAATAGAGAAAAAGTGGCAGACAGGATCCACCATCCGGCTGGCTTTAAGATAAGTCATTCAACCTCCCTGAGACTGTTTCCCTTACCTCTAAAATAGAAAATGGTGATCTCTATAAATGCACCACAAGCTTGCCACAGTAGTGTAAGGATCAAAGCTACAATTGAAAACTGCCCTGTGCATACACAGAGTGTCATTAACTGAGAAATGACTTATGAGAAAAAGTGGCACAGGAGAAAGAGAGAGAAATGGAAAGCCAGGTCTCAATTCTGTCAGGTTTCTGTACCTAACAGAAGGGAGGTTTACCCTGGGGATTTTCTTAAAAGGTTTAGTGGGGATCGGTGCTTATCCTTTGCGAATGAGTGAGTGTTCAGAACATAAACAAACTGAAGATGGGAGGGGCTTAGATACATGAAATCTCCTTTTCTGCCATGCGCAAGTTTGATGCAGGTTATCCATGGGGACAGGAGAAAAAAAAACTACTGCAACACAAACTTAACACACAAATATTAAAATGTCTTTCCTCTACCGAATGGTAAAAAAATATATTATATTTTGATATTTTTTTTTCTTTTTAAATTATATCTGCTATCCATCCCAGCCGAAGTCGCGGCCGGTCATCTGGTAGAACTTGCGGTTGAAGGGCCGGTAAAAGTCACGCAGCTGCCGCAGCACCTCGCGCGCGATGGCGGGGTGCGCGCGACCCTTGGTCTTGCCCAGGCAGTGCGGCTTGCCGCTGCCCTCCGCCTTCTTGAGGCACGGGAAGCCCTTGGTCTGGTTGAAGTAGAAGTGCTTGTCGGTGATGATGCGCTTGAGGCCCAGGAAATCCTGCACGCGGCGCAGCTCCCCAGCCGGGTCGCTGACCAGCCGCTCCCCGCTCACGAAGAGCATCTGGCCGAGCGGGAAGTGGCGCAGCCAGGGCTCCAGGTGCTTGGCGTACAGGCCGATCTGGATGGCGCTCCAGGACGTGTCGATGAGGCCCGCGCTGCGGTTGCGGAAAGTCAGGCTCTCGAAGCTGGGGATGTCCGGCCGCTTGGACAGCGTCTGCGTGTAGTCCGAGATGGCCCTGGTCACCGGGTCGCGCACCACCACGATGAGCTTGGTGTCCTTGGACATGGCCGAGATGCGCGCGGGTGCCTCCCGGGTCACAAAGTAGCTGGGCGTCTTCTCCATGGTAATCTGTCCCTCCAGGGTTCTGGGCATCAGGTCCCTGCGGAAAGCAGAAATTGTTGAATCTGGGGAGAGTAAAGAAGCCAGGTCCCCTTCTGGACCCCAAGAACTGAAGAAGCACCCAATCAGGGTTCTGACTTCCCTGGCTGGTTGCAGTTCCAGCTCCCTGACTTCCGGAAAGCCTGTTGGCAGTTGCATTCCTTGAGTATGGACCTCAGAATAATCATTGCCCCTGTCATACAGTTTTTGTGGCAATTAACACACCTCAAGAGCTCTGAAATGCTCCCAACACAAAATAAAGGCTCTGTTAGCTACTGTCATCCATCTACACTACTCAACATCAGTGGTAGTTGGAGCTCCTGGAACTGGAGTTAAAGATGACTGTGAGCCTCCTGAGGATGGAAGCGATGGGAACTGAACTCTGGTCCTCTGAAAGAGCAGCAAGTACTCAGAACCACTTAGCCATCTCTCCAGCCCCTCCTTCTAAGTGTAATCTCAAAATGTACAATTGTTCCTCCCCTTTCGGTGATTGACTTCACCCTAGTTTTGGTTACTTGTCTCCAACAACAGCCCCAAAAATAATGCACAAACCTTTCAGGAACAAACAATCCGACACTTTTACATTGCATGCCATCCCAAACAGCACAGTGGAATCTCCCAGAGTCCCTTCTGTCTCTCCAGGACCCGAATCAGCATATCCATGTTGTATAGCCTGCCTGTCCATTAGTCACTGAATCAAACTGGTTGGTACATTATCAAAGGTCCTGTGCAATGGAGGCCCCCAAAGGAAAAACACAGCGACAAGGACACCAGAGCCCGGCACACAGAAGCACACTTTAATGCTGTAGCTGCATGCACAGGTACAGGGCATGGGGGGAAACAAAGGCAGCATGGTGGGTCTGGTATTAGCCTGGATTTCAGACTCCCCACTGGGGGTCTTTGTAGGGCAGGGTAGGCCTCCTGAGTACAGAGAAAATGACTTTATATAACACAAAATGCTTGTCTTCACAACTCCTCAGGGTTCCATCTTGTATGTAATGGTTTGAAAAGTCCTGATTGTCGTGTTCTAAATACCTTAGTTTCTTTTCTATTCCTTTGGCATTTGATGGGAGTCACTTCCATTCAGGGCTGATAATGCATGTGCAGGGGGCAAGAAGGAGCATGTGATCTCTGGGTGTTTTCTCTTTCCTGGATAGGCACTGGCTTGCTCTAATACTCTATCTTGTCTTCTGTAGGTTTGGGACAATTAAATTTTTCTAAAAAACCATCTAATGAGTACTCACAGCTCTATCTCCATTCTCGGCCATAGTTTGTGTATTCTGCCTTTCTTTATTCCTTCTTGGCTAGGACCCCCACCCCTTTCTAATTCACTCATTTGCATTTTACCTTTTTAAAAATTGCTCCCTCTGTTTTTTAAGCTGTGCTTTGTTGGCCTCTTCCTATGGGTTTAACTACATGCTTCCCCCCCCCCCATCTGTCTTTTCAGGTCATAAAGGCACTTTATTTTTCAAATGGGGACTTGATCAACTTTCTTAAGTACCAGCATTCTAGTCATTACCTGTCAATACCTATCAGTTAAACAGAAGAGTTCTGAGTTCCCACTTGAAGCAAGTACCATCCATGGCAGCTATATTTAGGTTCTAATTCTAATGATTGTTTTGCTCTCGAAATTCTGTAATATCTAGTTTGCTTTTGTACTAAAAGCATCTGCTTTGTGCTGGGTGCTTCTCTTTGCTGTTATCTTATCACCTTCCCCACCCACAATGTTTGCTCCATATACACGACTTGGAAAATGTCAAAGGTAAAAAGTGAAAACACATCCCGTGAATCTCATTCACCTTGCATCTCCTTCAAGACCTCATCACGATGGCCAAGTTCATTTATGAGCTCCTCCACCTCTATCCTGCCCCATCTACTCACTAACCATGCCAACTGAATTGTCTTAAGGCCAATTGGCAGACGTCCTCTCAATTACTTTGCAAGTATTCGTTCTCCCCTGTGGGTTATTTCTGGCACACATTGCTCAGCCTTTGTGGTGTCTAGTGCTAACAATGCCTCGGCTTATACGATGGAGACTTCAGCCTTATATTTGTTACTTTGGCAATTTTAATCAAGTGATTCTCTTCTTCTGTGAGGGAGAGTGCTAGTTGTATGTTTGACTGAGGGTACTCAACTTTTATTTTTAATTTTAGAAGAATTTTGTAATTTATTTTATAAAATGATACATCACATGAACCATTTCTTAAATATACCTCAAGGGCTGGGTATAGGTGAGCACAGCCTGAAGTACATGACACAAAACTGAGATGCCCCCCCATTGCCCTTCCTCATCTGTGCATGACAAATTCCTTGTGGAGTCAGCTAGACTAAGCTGCTTCCGGGACTGAGGATGCCCTTGTAGATGACAAGCCGGGAAATCTGTCCTGAGATGGTGGAATTTCCCAGTGAAAGACATTTGATCAAACTTATGGAAAAGTGTTGGGCTCTAAGCAAACACCAAATACTCTGGAAGGGAAAGGGATGTGGGGTGACTTAAGGACACAGAAGCGGATCCTTGCCTCCTTGTCTAGTCTTTGAGTTATAACTACTTTACTTCACATTTTGCCCCGAATCTTTTTTTTTTCATTTTTATTTCTTTATTTATTTTTCTATTATCAGCTTGATACGGTATAAATTCTTATCTTAATAGTGAAATGTTTCATTGAGGCTTGCCCAGTAATTGAGTAAAACCACAACTTACTATAAGCCACAGTTATCCTAGAGTCCCCCCTGCTATATAGCCTCCCTGGCTCCCTACCCTACACTAACTGGGAACAGGTAAGCCCCCATCTCTGGACCGGCAGATCAGGTCTCTAGCCCCTAGGCCCTACCCATTGGAGTCCCAGGGACCAAACAGCTACCTTTCCCTGCTCCCCCACCAAAAAACAAAACAACAACAACCAGAACCCGAATCTTAAAGAGAGAACAAACTACTAGCAGGAGTTCCTGGCTGGCTTGTTTCTAGGAGCAGAGAGACCCCTGGGAACCTTTCTCAGAGACTGAAGCTGCAGACTGCTTGGCCAAAACAAATGCTACTAAACCTCAGAAAATGATCCATGTTTTAAAAAGCCTCTCCCAAATAGGTGCTTGAAAAGAGACAGCCCAAACAGGACTTCCCAAGACAGTTAGCCTCATCAGCTCTTGTCGCTCATAGGATGGGAAAACACAACTGGTCAGAGTGGGAGTAGAGAATTGCTGCATCATGGAGAGCAGTTCAAAGCCATCAAGCTTTCTGGAGACTGACTGCACTATGCGTATGTGGTTAACACTCCTGGACCTGAGGACACAGAGACAGTAAACTTCATGCTAAGCAGAGTTCACAATAAGCTTTTTTAAGCACTCAAGAAGGAACACAGGCTTTGAAGGATGGATCTAGCTAGATTACATCTTTCAGCTTAAAGATTACTAAACACAGGGGCTATGTACTCAAAGGGTCTGTGGTTTTGTTTCCATCTTGCTAGAACAAAGGGAAATAAAATAATTTTTGACAGTTTGTCAAGTTGATCTGAAATCAGAAAATGGGTTTTGTGGCTTATCCATTCTAAGGGCTGACAGGGCTCAGGGGAGACACGCTGTGACTTAACTTGCCTAAGCTGAGCTTATGCATCTCAACAGAAAAGCCAAGCCTAATGCCTCAGGAATCTGGCCCATAGAGGACTGCCAGTGTGACTGTTGTAGAGATCATACCAAGTATCACTCTGAAGGGGGTGATGACCCTGATTCTCTCAGTCCAGATAACAGGACTCCAGATAAAACCAGAAATGCCTTCTCTGCCATGGCCCTGGGATATCTAGCATTGGCACAGACATTGGAGGTCATGAGCTGGTCACCATCTTTGGAGAGACAGAAGTGGACTGGTTGTGTTGGAGAGGTGAGTACATTCTGTAAGCAGATTCAGTTATCTCCCACAAGGGGCCATCATACCAGAAAGAACTGTTGTTCATTAGAGCTTAGGTCTGCTTCAGAGATCACTCCACCCTCACTTTGGAGCTGGTCCGTTACTGGGTAATCTCTATGGGACTAGGATTGTGCCTGTAGCTGTCTACAGTGTAGGAAACGTTGGAGCCAAGCAGGCACCATGGCAGACAGGCTAAGTCGATTGTTCTTTTCTACCAAAGCCAGAGGTCAAGACAGTAGTGGATGGCAGGAGTACTAGAATGACCTGGAGGGCTTTCCCTCTCCACACTGGGCAGGGGACACAGCCACCTTTGTGGTTGGGCCTCATAGACAGTCTGAGCAGGATGCCCCTAGGATTGGGTGACCAGTGCTTCATCATAGTCTGCATACAGACACCTCAGTTACCATGAGAACCATCTAAAAAGAGCCATCCAGGCCACTCAGCAACTTCATTTGGTATGCATCTAATATCCACAAGATGATACAAAAGGGACCCATGTGTTCAGTCATTCTTAGCAATTTGGGCCCTTTCTTCTGTGTAGCATGAAACTTAAAAGATCTTATTAACAAGAACAAATCCGGAGCCAGGTATTGGGGTGAATGCTGAAAGATCAGAGAGACAGAACAAGCCACAGCCACCTTACCTTGCCAACTTCTCAGCCGATCTTGCTTCCTCAAACTGGAAGCCTCTAAGTCCTCACCTGAATAAATCTCAGCTGAATTGCTGCTAAAAGCCTAAAAGATTAACCAGGCTAGTTCCTGGTTTTCACACCTTATATATCTTTCTGCTTTCTGCCATCACTTCCTGGGATTAAAGGCGTGAGTCACCAGGCCTGGCTGTTTCCAGTGTGGCTTTGAACTCACAGAGATCCAGATGGATCTCTGCCTTTGGAATGCTAGGATTAAAGGTGTGTGTGCCACCATTTTCTGGCCTCTGTATCTAGTGGCTGTTCTGTTCTCTGACCCCAGATGAGTTCATTAGGGTGCACAATATTTTGGGGAACACAATATTACCACACTCCTGGATTCCCAAGGCCCTCACACTGTCTTCTCAACCCCTACCTTCCCTGTATAATTGCTACCAGCCATCTTTGGAAGTAGCTT